AGTGTTCAAATTGATAGGTGTTATTTTTTTTTATTAAATTACGCATGAAAAGCGTGTGAGGCCTCTTAGATTGTCTCTCTTTCGTAAAAAATATGATCAATTCATTGCAAGGCTGCAGATTAATAGCCAGTACTGTAACTAACTCGTTCATCGAATAAAGTCAGCCGGTTCTTCCGGCAGACCTAACCGTCAATTATCTCGCATGGCGAGAACGGGCCCTTCGGGAAACGCGACGCGGCCGGCTGGTTGCAGCCCCGCGGATGCATTTCCGCGTAGTCCGAGCGCGATGGTGGTCGGCCGACATCTGGCTGACGTGGCCGGGGCAATTCGTGAAATTCGTCGTTACACGGTGCACAGATTACGCGCGGTTTAGCCGAGCCGCCGGAAACGGTTTACACATTGTACACGGAAGCAATTATCGCAAGCGCACGCTGCTGTAATCGAGCCGAGCGACGCGCCGACATGCTTTAATTGCCCGACAGCTTCACCCATCCCTCATGCGATTAATTCGAGATTTTTCTAAGTGTCGAAAAGATCTGTAAATTATATAACGCGGAATGCAACGTAATAATTAATATGAAGTTATAAAACACGCGGTTTCGTATTTTTGTTCCAACACTGAAAAAAAAATATAGTCAATTTTAATAAATATTTAGTTGAATACATGCCAACTAAATATTTATTAAATATAAAGATATATTTATTTGATACAAGAAATGTTAATTTGATTTAACAATCATTTTTGTTACTAAACAAATATTTATTTACTGTAAGTAAATATTTAGTTGGCAGTATTGAACTAAATATTTATTAAAATTGACTATATTTTTTTCTCAGTGTAAATAGATTAGACATGGTACATGTAGATATAAAATGAGATTGACGAAGTACCTTGCATTTTGTCGCATTCGAAAGTCATAACTTGATGTTTTAATGCTAAATCAATATACTCGTACGTATTTTGTGTACCTCGACAATATTATGTGACTATCATTGTATCGCTAGAACGAGAAATGTCAATGGCATTCCGTGACTCCAAGAGATAAGAGGAGATATATACTTAATTTTTTTAATAGAACTTAAAATCAATTGAGCAATTAAAAAAACAAGTGCGCATTTAAAGCTCTTGCTCGCTATATGCATAAAAAAGAAGCACACATACAATCTTTATGACAATAAAATCATGATATCAATTATAACAAACTAAATTGCTTCAATAATATATATTGAAATCTATCACAGTTACATAAACTTTTAAATTTTATGAAAATTGTTATAATCAAGCCTCAGACGGTCATATTCAATACATCATTATCTTCCGCTTGACTACGATTTACGAAAGCAATTGTTCCCGCATTATTTTACTCTAACGCTAAAGCACTTTATGGACATCGGCAATCTCAGTACCGATCAACCGAAGTAAAGTACTTTTTCAATCTGTTCGAATCGATCGGGGCTCGCCGTCGAGCAGATCCATCCATCTGTCTGTCTCGTCTTCGCTCGCTCGTTCGGAATTCTACGCTTCAGTATCCCATGATTTCCACGTGATATCCACGCGTGTTACGTGCTAGATCCCACGCACGGTCTCGTCTCCGTCGAGGGCAATACACTGAGTGAACCTAACGAGATTTCAATAGCCTGATCCTTGCTGTCGGTTACCGCAAATAGGCTCGATCCTGCGGTAACGTCTAGCGAGCGATGAATGCTAAGCATAGAAATGCGGAACCACTCCGCGGCGAGAGGGATAATGTGCGGTAAATAGAAGAATGTTATGAACTCGCATGGGATATTCGCGCACTGCTATACTTGTCGGTCCGGCAGCGACGGACACGCGGTATCCTTCGAGAGGTCACGAAAGCAGAACGTACCGTTTTAACGCCCGGTAAAAATAATTTTGACTAAGCGAAGAGGATAATATATTCTCTGCCTTAATAAAGGACAGATATCATCTAATTATCGTCTCAGCGATGAGAATAGCTGCTTACAAAATTAATTTACGTCAAAATGATTAATTTGAAACGCGTTTCAGAACGAGATCGTATATAAATTTTAAATTGTGTTCCAGCGTAGAAACACACGTGTGCAAAGGTTTCCAAGCTACACAACAAATCTAATATTTTTTCACGTAGATCATTAATATAATTTATCGCTGGTACCTATCACGATAATGACTCGTTATTTCGAAGAGCCGTAAGTAATTAACGTTTCATATATTTACCTACGAAAATTTTACGACAGGAGTGTCAACGAATTATCGTGTTGCAAGTGCATCCGTATAAAACATTGATTTTTAATTTACCATGCACGCAATTTAATTTATACATGCGAGGCTTATCGTTCAAGCGTTAATTTGCGGTTAGTTTTCACGAATCTCGCTATGGCTTCGACTCATCGAGCAGAATCGAAAGTAAGAAGGGCGAAAAGAAGGAGGAACCGCAGATAGCTGAGTGTCATTAATCAAGGCCCTCGAGGTGCACTAAATCACCCGCGAGATATAAATTACCGCGGGCAATCTGGTATCAATAAGGCGTAATTCGGGATAATAGGGCGTGCGAGAGAGGGCGGACGCGCGGGAGGATATATAACTCCTGATTTCCGAGGGTGCTGTAGATTTCGATTAACCCGAGTCCGTCCGCCTGTCCGAGCCGAGTCGCGACATTTCTCTTCGTTACACTCCTCTCGTCTCTCGAGCCTTCGATCTTTCGCCTTCGTATAAATGATTTAACGGACTCGCGCGCACGCATTGCTGGAATCCAACTATTCTCCGTTGCAAATGTGAAAGCGACTATCACGGTGTGTAAGAAAACGTCAAGATAACGAAAGCTAGCGCAGATGTCTGCGGTCAATCACTCTTACGCACTTCAGCGAAGATAAAATGCAAAATATGCATCAATGGATTTGAATATTTTTACGGATTTAAGAATGATTATCATTTTATCCGAAGAAGAGAGTCACGTCGTTTCGTTAAGTTATAATCGTCAAAATCAAAGTACCATTAATCTATCTTCTTATTAAGTCGTGCGAAGGAGATTCGGTGTTGTTAAAATATTAATCCGGATTTTATCCAAAGAAAGAAGAACTGTTACTGTTACCGTAGAGTAAATGAATCCTATTTCCGCTTACTCATGTATCTATTTTCAATAAGATAAAGCACAGTCTGATTTAAACAGTAGTGATCACATAATACTGTCATATTAAATAACGACTATAAAAACTAAATATTCAATCTTATTTTTCAGTCTTAACAGTTGTTCTTGTGGTTTAATGGCGATTGAAAGAGAGCACAGAACTCAACTCGATATATATCCATGTAAAAAAAAAAGAAACGCGTGAGGCATAATATCCAGATCAAAGTACAGATCGTCCGAGGCTCTTCCCTTGTATCGACAAATCGCGAGATTCGTCGGTACGATACGACAAGCGGCGCGGCGCAGCGCGGCTAATTAGTTATCCTCGATACATCTGGCCGATGGATAATTAGCCGCTACGGTTTATACGTGCGATAACTCGTCGCTCGCGCGCGCGCGCACGTTCTCGGCGACCCGCTGGGATTTGTTTCCGCCCGTGAAAACAATTTGTTTCTCATTCCATCGGAACCGAACCCCGTCATCATCGGCGCCAGAATGGGATAAACCCTTCCCTCTCGCGCCCGCTTCTCCCTTTCGACGTCTGTCCTCGTTCCTCCCGCTTCATTTCCACGGCCCTATTACATCGTTATTAGGCTCGTAACAGACGTGTAAGCGTTCCGGGGAACACCCCACTGGGTTATTAATGGTGACTCTTTGTTTTTTCATACTCTCCACGCCCGATGGCCACGGTGTACTCTTTTTCTCTTCTTCTCCTTTTTTCTCCCCCCTCCCCCCTCCCGCCCCCCGAATATTTCGCCGTTTCTTTCCCCCTTTATCTTCCCGCTTCCGTTCCTCCCTCTTTCACGTCTTGAATAAATTAATGTAAGCGTGAGTACCTAAAGTAGGTGTCAGGTATTCTGATGCGAATGAGCTCTGCCTCGCGCGGTGACAAATTGGTAGCACAGGTAAGGGGATACCTATCGCGCCCCATGATACTCACGGCCGAGAGAGAACAATCGTCGAAAAGGCGTGCACGCGCTCCTCCACATGGAGAGGAAAAAAGAAGGGCTTCGCGAGAACCTACCGCGGTAGTAGAGATTTCGATAGTCGTCCTATTCTTGCTGTACGGTTGTTTCAGCGCGCGTGTTACCGTTCGTGTCGCCTGTCGTGAAATCTCCCATGAAATCTCTTCGACGAGATCTCTGATCTCGATCGCGGACAAAACACTTATTCGCTTTTACGACTGTCGTTGCGTTTCTTGTTCTCTCTGAAGTTCTAGACTCGATTACAAGCTACCTTTTTGCGGGTAAAAAAGATCATTTAGAAGAAAGAAAATCTATTAATTCAGTTCATCGGTAAGATTTGGATTTCTCGAGGCGGAATATGCGCACAATCGATGAATAATGAGAAGATGACAAGCGAATAGAATTCAATGAACAAATCGACTTCTTAAAGAAATCGGAATTACTCCATGACAATTCTTATTTAATTTTAAAGAAGTGAATTCTTTAAAGAAGAGAATTTTACATATTATATACATTAATTATATGATGAAACAAAAGTAAGTACTTTTGATGTACTCGTATAGTTTTATATATATCTTTCGCAATATGTGCGAGTCCCTAATGTTGAACTAAATTTAACTCTTGTTACCGTTTCTCTCTCGTTTATTTATTATTTTGATCTATAACAAACTAAACTATCGTCACGATTCGCTTAATCCTATATACTCATCGACTACAAATGTCCGCTTATTATCTATCGCACTAACGATCAGCATGATCATTAGAGAAATATCTAACAATTGCCGCAACATTAGTCTCTGCGGTTACTAAATATGTCACTAACGGATAAATATCCTAATTGTCACGCAATTACAAGGGCATTTTTGATGCACTTTCTCAAGCGGAGAGAACACCGTGAGCGACTCACCTTCGCAAGTGAATTGTCCGTAATGTTTGCCGCTGCTTTTATCTCCGCAGACGACGCACTCGATGTTCGGTGATTTATCCGTTTGCGAGCTGCCGGATTGCGAGCTGTTGGCTTGGCTGCCGGGGGTGGTGCTAGGCGGCAAGGGATCCCTTGAGGTCAGGACCGAGCCGGCAGGCACCAGACAGGTGATGTCCTCCGGCGTAGCCGAGGGCGTCAGATGCGCGGG